AAGCAGCCGCCTGAATTTGGTTCGATGTAGTCGATAGTATCAGAGATTTAGCCGAGTAAAAGTATCGTTGGCTACTATATAGACTACATCGGTAGTTTTTAATCGATGGTGCCCATCACTAACCGATACGCGCGGCGGCAACCCGATAGAAAGCAAGCATATTTGTGTATTCATTATGCGCATGGTATTTTATATTAAAATCGTGTATGATTAATCAAAAATTTATTCTCACAACGATGAAAAATTCTAATTTTTGTACGAAATTTCAAACAGCAAATATATTTTAACGTAATGCGAGTATTATTCCTTATTTATTGAGGTACACTTTGTAACAGTGTTGGGCACATCGTGGGATATTTGAGGCGTGCACTAGAATTTACTAGTTGAAAATAAGATATTATGTTATCTGACTGCATGATACTTGAAATAATCATTTGGTTAGCGTACTTGAATGTATAAAGTGATGACACGATATCTGAATCTGACCACCGATTGGGGCATGGGCACAAATAATATACAACACTGTGCGTATAACTTGATGAGCAGAGAGCAGAGGGAGCAGAGCAGATGGCTCAACTATCGCCGGTTCCCGTTTTCGATTATCAAATAGTCTTTTATAGTGTACGATACGGAAAACATGTGAGTTTTTAATATATTTATGCAGTTTTCACAAATATAAGTTTACGCCAACGCCGCTAGAACGCAAGGATCATTTGGTATGTCCTGTCCAATTTGTGTCTGCGAAGCGTACGACATTAACATCATTTTTAACTCGAGTAATTAAATAATCTCAAAGCGAGTTTGTTGGTTAGTCGTAACAGCGTTAAGAAAGTAACAGGTTTTTCGAAATGGAGATGATTTTTTGTCGAGGCATAAGATTCTCGTCCAGCTTAGGGTTCAGTCCCTTGTTAGCGACTAAAAATCTCTTCGGAGAAATTTCTACGAGGCGTTGGAGATTTAAACTTGGTAGGTTAATGCGCTCGATTAGATCGACAGCGTTTATAATCGTTAAATGATACGCAAGCTTTTGATATAATCGATTCCAGAAAGATACCCGTACCGTAGAAATCTGTCGTGCAATTATGTTCCTTTCCTCAATCACGTTAAAGCACATGAAATGCCACTCAAGCATAAGTTTAATAGGAATGCCTTGGTGGCGCGTTATTGTAATTCAAATGCTAGCAAAGAGTACACTCCAAAAACAGAGATGAAAAAGCAGTCACTATTCGCGAAAATGAAACAGATGACCAAGGATTATTGGCATATTTTAGTACCAGTCCACATAATTACCTCTTTAGGTTGGGTAGCTATATTTTATACAACAATTAAAGTGTAAGCACTGTTGAACGTAATTTTGTCTGCTAACTTCTGCTACTCATACTACTTTGCGATGTCCGTTCTTCCAGTGGTGTCGATATTGTAAAGCTTATGGAGATCGTGCATTTCAATCAGAAGTATATAGATATGGTGAAAAGGTCTGATGCTGGAACCTGGGCCTTAACATACCTTCTTTATAAAATATTTACACCTCTTAGATATACAGTCACTCTAGGTAATTAAACGACGATTGTTGTAAGGAAAATTGATTGAAATTAATAGCACGTATGTGATGCACAGGTGGTACAACAATGGCCATCAGGCGGCTTAGCAAATCGGGATTAGTAAAACCTTTGTCGTTTCGTAAACAGTCGCAAGAGATATACAAGGTATAACCGTACACAATTCTTATATGTGAATAAATTTAATCAATTAAGACTGATATCTGAACTACTTTGTTACATGCCTTCTTGATGTAGTCTGCATATGATACTGTGTGTAGGTTTACATTCTATCGTTAGAGATTAGAGTTTCTCGACTTTATCTTCTGTTTTTTGCTTTTCGCTAGGACTTAACAGGCGCCGTTGTCGATTTCCTAATAAAACGTATTATATAATTTGTCATGTGTTTTAGACAACAGAATCAAATAAAACAGCACCAGCAAAAGCAGAATACAAAGTAGAACGACAGACGGAACCACCGAAAACGTAGCACTAAATTGATACTAGCGAGGCTGACTGATTTTCATCTGGATAAAGGATAGTTTGATTGTGAGTCGAAATACGTTGAACGAACGAATGTATATTATCTCTTGTAAATGTGTAAACGATATTGTGTTACGATAAAGAACAAATCTTGTATGTAATACTACACGAACCGCTTATGAATTCATTTCCCCTTTCGCGAAGTCCTGCGAAAATACGAACTGAACACGATTGTGTTTAGGCAGGTATACTTTTCTTTATTGAACGATCGTCTTGTTTTACATATACCATGCGTACACTTATTTAAATAACATTGTACTTTTTATCTACAATACTTGTAGCATAAATTCACTATAGACATGGAAATATTAAAGACGAAGTAGCAAAGTTCGTTTTTGGCAGCACGGGCTTGTGCGTTGGCAGCATCCTAAAATTATGTCCTCAGCGCACCGAATCGCACTTTTTCATACGCTCAAGCGTTAAGATATATATACTTTTTAAACGCCAACAGTGTCATTAACTTCCTGAGTAACATCGATAAATGTCAAGAGTAATGTATAACAATGTTTCGATACTAATAATTGATATATGATGTACCGTCATAATAAATACTGTTAGCGAACGCAATACATATATCGCATATGGTAAATACGCTATGTTTAAACCATGCCGGGGAACTGTCTGGAATTTTTGATCGTTAGATAATAAACATATCCTCACAGGCATGGTTACAAATATATTATATACAAGATCTAAAATAAGGAATCATTGCTTAATGACGATGCAGTTATTATGCTAATATATCACAGTTGCCTGCGCAACTTGCTCACCCTAACGAAACCACTGCATACGTGAACGCAGTACCTTGGACAAAATAAATAATAGCACGTACACACATATATATATATATATATTAAATATACCATTAATCTATCTATATTAATAGCTGTCAATGGAATATCGCTTCATGTATATAAGATCGCGTTAATATATGTATATATATATTTACGAAAAGATTAAACATCGACCTGTCTATACAGTACAGCTGATCCCAAAAGGCAGTGTAAGTATTTTCGATTCTGTAAATACCCAGTCATTGCTCTGTTAGTCTAATGTTTTAGAGCAGGCATGGACAAAGTTGCCTCCCACGCCACACAATTTTAAAAGATTTTAGTACGATTTAATGTATGTTGTAGACTGACATTCTATGCTTATCTATAGGACCCACACAGATTGACTCGCTAGGCGAGTTTTACGCAGTAGTCGGAAGCGAATAAAAAGTATGTCCATGCCTGTTGTAGAACAATTAGACTATATTCCTTCCGCAGACTCTGATTAATGATCTTACTGCAAACATCGATACTTGTTTGTTGTATAAATCTCTACGTTCACAAATAATTAGGCATATGTAACTCCGTCTTCTTGTCTGTCAGTCAATTCTTATAATATTTATATTGCTGGATGATCGATACGTGAGCATTAAATTCGAAATGTTCAACTTGGAATATATTTAACTTAACTTATCCCATGAACTGATAACTAGCAGATACTGGTTGTGGTGCTCTGGGTTGCATGTGAGATATGCGTTGAATGTGACACGCGCGACACATAAGCCTACCGTCGAGCGGATAGCATCGTTTGTCAGGTTCATCGGTCAATTGCATGCCGCAATCCTCGCAGACGTAACAGTCTACGTGGAAATCTTTATCCATGGAAACAACTCGTACCGTCTCCTCGGTGCCCTGAAAATCAAATGGTATCGATTAAAGTGAGATCCAATTGTATGAATATAACGCGGTTGGGTGTTAAGTATCGTACCTCAACAGGAGTGATTCCTTTTCCACAAGAGGCGCACTTTGGGGCAAACATTCTGTGGTAGTCGTTAACGCAATAAATTTTATTATCAACGTCAACCGTGAATGGAACACCATCCAGACATTCGTTGCAAACGCAGCACCTAAAGCATCCCGGGTGATAGGATTTTCCCATAGCTTGTAATATCTGCGTACAAAAAGAATGTAAAATGATTAATTATATTGAAAGCAGAAACTAAATCAACGTGTTAATTACCATTTCCATAATGAGATGACCACAGATTGCGCACTTCTCGGCAGTCTGTTGGAAACCAGAATACTGCAAACACAATATTCTATAAGCTATGTCATTCTTCCGCTAATATATTTACCGCGATTACCATCTTACGTACCAAATAATCTTCCTCACAGTATACCCTTCCGTGAACATTATAGAAGGCTTTACCGCGCAAGGCTCTCCCACATGAACAGCATATAAAGCAATTGGTATGATACAGGTTGCCCATGGCTTGGCAGGCTTGGCCCGCACCGGTTACTTTCTCACCGCATGTGTGACAGATACCTATGGAAAAATATTCATGAATCCATTTTAATATTGCATGAAAAATCATGCAAATAACATTCTTCCTAACGATAACGTTATAAACACTCCTCAAACTATTTTAAGAACCAAGAAAGCAAAGCTATAGTTCAGTCACGTTCAGCGGGGTTTAAAAATACCCTCGTCGATATTCGCCAATAGGATTTGTTCTTTAGATTCAATATCTGTCAGAAATACAGGATAACGATATGATACAATAGGAAGCACAATTGATAGAAACGAACTTACAATCCTCTATGAATAACACAGACCCTGCCATTCCCTTCGCAGGAATCTTTTATTTCGCATTCAGCGTTTGACAGTTGTAGTCTCGATTAAACAGTTCGGTTTCACTGGGCCAGTCTCGCTCGAACTAGAATCCGCTAACGAGTCAGACTAGTCTATCTATAACGAGATTACTTACTGCAGCGAGCGCGACCTGGCCACGGCAATTCGCCGTGTACAACACGTTACATGAAGAATAAAACACGTGCAGAAAAACGAGGAAGAATACTAAGTTCACGTAAACACCAGCCTCTTCTCGACTGAGATTGGCTGCCTGGACTGAAGTTCTTATTCGCACTCGCACGGTTCTTTCAATTCCTCGTTGCCCACGTTTAGGCTACGTTCAAATAAAATCCAAAGCACTATCTACCATGATTTATTCTGAATGTAAGGAAAAATGTAGAGCCGAACATAGTCGTGATCGTAGACGTAATTTACATGTATGTTTATTCGCATTGATAAATATTTTACGCTTGTATAATTGTGCCAGTAGTTCATATTCGAAGTCTTTAAAATGAAGAATGTGGTATTTCTTATACTTCTAAAACGAATAAATATCTTAAGAATTTTCAGAATCCATAAATAGGATGTTTTGTATTGTATCATCATTGATATTTTCAGATGTCTATCAATTCTATTTATATTTTGAGGACGTGGGGGGAATAATGTTCTTAATTGCCACATTCATTGATTTTAGAAGGCTTAAATGTCAAAGAGAAGTATCCAATAAGAACATCAGCTTGCGATATTCGAATTCAGAAATGAATAACTCAAAGGAGAAAAGACGAGCATGTGTGCACCTAACAAACGCATGTAGCATACACCCATGGTGATTCACGTAGGTGCGAAAACACGTAGGTGGAAACGAATGGGTAGAGAGTGAATGTCAACGAAATCTCGCGTTAAAAAAATTTCGCGACACATTGAAACTTGAGTCCATTTTACGAAACCGATCTCCAGAGGGAGGACTTGTGCCGTGGGAATTAGCACAATGCCATGATTTGTGTTTCTTCTGATTGTGATCGTGTAGGAAATTAAATTCATCGACGACAGATTTTTGCAATGCTGAATACAAGTAAGTGAGCTTTTTCGTTGTGATATTACACGGAAAAAGTCGCTTGATTACATTCAATTATAATTGTTTTACTATACGACCCCAGAAGATGTCAAACAGAGCTGCGTAAACATCTTGACAATAAAAATAGTTACCAGACAACTATTGCGCAGAAGTTTTTAAGACATAAATATCCGCGACGATTGTTTCTTACCGAAGTATTCCCCTTCCTCTTCCTGCTTTTCCATTTCTTCCTCGAGTTGTCTCGTCAGTTCCTCTATTTTCCTCTCTGCTTCGGTCGGCCCCTACAAGTAATAAATCGCATCCCATGTTGTGATCGGTACTGACAAATGATAACATAAACTGGAATGGGATTTAGTCGCAGGTGAACATAAATTTGCATGCGCCTAACAATGACATTCAACGTTAGAGGCAAAACGAAGAGTTGTCAATGCAATGTTATTGCGTTGCATCCTTCACGCGAAGATATATCTATATGCGGTCTACAAATAAAATATTCCGCGATAAGTACATGTATATACAGCGGTTGTGTCAGGAATAGATAATTTACGGCATGTGATTCAGCACAAGTTCGAGGAAAAAACTCGTCACCAATCGGGAGATGTTGCCAATTATCGCGAACGTTTCTTTTCGTGCAACGTTAAGAGCGATAGAATAACAACCGTTTGAATTTCTAATACTTTACGGAAGAGAACATCCATCAGCCGATTCGTAATATATATATATATTTGTTCGAGTAAACCGCTAATCTTATCTTTACGTGGGTCAAACATTACGTAAAATACCAGTGATAGCGGGTGATATTTTTTGAGATCATCACTTAAATGCAAAAACGATGCATGCTTTAAAAGAACTTTCATATTACCCTTCGTACATATACTATGTAATAAAACAAGTACAATTTTATGGCACAGAAAATATATTTTATACATACAAAGTAATGATATAAAAGATATTGGCAAAAAAAGCACAGTAAACGCAGTCCTAATCTTTCAATTGTCAGTATCAATCGCGTTCCATTTATATGTATCAAAATTAGCATGCAATTAGATCAACGGTCGGCGTTCAGCCAAAACAAACTGAAAACAACCATGCGTTCCCCTAACCCAATTAATGTGATTATAGTGTTACGTTGACGACAGGTTCTGTAAACGAAGAGGAAGCCAAGAGAAACCCAAGTTTATGAGCTAGTCCAGGGGATTAGTGATTTTTTTTTTATCTAATAAGCTAGTTTCTTACCGAAGGCCTGGGCGGTATAACATTGTAAGGTAGCAGTCCCTTTCCAACTGTCGGTTTAATCGGTGGACTGACTGACTTTCTTTCCTCCGGTTCATGTTCGGATGGTCTTTGTAACACGGGGACACCGGCATTTAAAAAAACCGGGCCGGCTACACCGCTGGTCACTCCAGGGGGGAGGCTGGTGATCCTAGGCCCGTGAACATTTGAGTCGAAGTCCGTAGTCGTAGGTGTGCTGGTAGTCACCGGTGTTTGTATTTGACCACGTAGAGGATTTCCAATAACATTGTTCGTAGAAGATGATGACATGTGTCTCGGCGAACTGATCACGTTTTGTGCTGTCGTATCCGAAGATAGTTGAATGTGAGTTGGACTTGTTTTGGGAGAACCCCTTGCAATATTGTTGTTTGCTACAACTCTGGAAGTATCAATGCGGCTAGGCGAGTACACAGATGGTTTTGAAGTTTCCGAAGGATCGGGTGTGTCTTGAACGAAGCCTCTATCGTTCTGTAGATTAGTTAATCTCAAGTGCTCCGACGATCTGTTCGAAGAATAAATTGGAGAATTTCTGGCAGGAAAATCTGGTCTTGATTCTTGATGATGATAGTTTCTCTCGTTCGGTGGTAATACTCTGCTTGGAGAGTAACATGGAGAATTACGGCACGCGGATTGATCTGCTGGTCTTCCACCATAGACAGGCGAATTTCTGGCTTGCGTCTCGGTGTTCATGTTCGCATTTGTATTTCTTGTGTTCGATTCCATGTACGGTTTATAATTATGAGGACTTTCCTGCCTGTATAATGGCTGTTGAGCACTTTCCGTATGATTTGATGCTCTAAATCCGTGCTGCACGCTCATCGAACTATCCAATGAACCACGATAATGGTGAGGTTCCGGAGGTAAACGTATCGGTGGAGATTCACTATGATAAGGAAGCCTAGATCTGGGGGAATGTTGTGGTTGTTGCTCAGCGTTGTAATTAAAATTTCTGGTCGGCGTTTGCAACTCTGATGGCGGCACATAGGCACTTCTGCTAGCTTGATGATCCAAGGATGAAGAAGATCCTTGTAAGTACCTTGATGTAGGGGAATCAACAGAATGTTGTAAGCTTGTGCCATCATAGCTCTGACCACGTATATTGCTTCCTCTTTGTTGAGAGTATGACAAACTTTGCGTCATACCCCTTTGATTTTGTACTTTCCCAGTCATAATAACATAATCTCCACCATTTATTGTCGCTGGATGATAATAATTTGGTGGAACCTGAGGGCCTGGCTTATTTTGTGTATTTTCTGGGAAGTGTACCTCTTGAATATTTTCGTACACAGGAGGAGCCTCATATGGAGGCAATTCTTTTGCTGGTGAAGCAGACTGATATCTGTTTCCAGTGGGAACCTGCGGTTGTGCTTTTCTGAAAGTGGGTTCGTACGATTCACTTGCTAAAGAACCTCTGGGACTACTTTTCGGACTTTTTCTGGATTCCACTGGATGATAATACGGTGGATGTGGCTGGCTTTGTTGCGGATAGTAATCAATGTTTTCATATACTGGTGCCTGTTGATGACTCATACGATTTTGATTCTGCTGCTGCTGCTGCTGTTGAGCATTGATCTGCTCCACAGGCTTCGGTGTGGCAAACCTTGACGCAGCTATTATATTTTCTCTCTCGTACAGTTTGTAATCAGTTGCTAACTGCCTGCAGGTATCGGCATTGCCTTCAATAAAACTTTCAATGGCACCAACAGGTCTGCTAGGCCCTCTAACATCTGTTCTGCCGGCGACATTCCTCGATACAGGTACCTGGGCCTCGGGTCGTGATCCCGTGACCCTACCGGTACCCGACGTACCGCCGGCGTCACTTGATTCATCACCAAGTTGCAGATAACCTAGCTTTTGTACGTAAGAATCGTCGGCCGAGTTACACATTGGCAGTGATTCACAATAAGGCAATCGACGACAATGAAAAAGATTTTCTCGTCTGTTGTTTAAATGATTATTGGCCGATGTTCTTTGGAGGCAGGATTATGGAAACATTGTTACTAAACAAGAGAACGTCGTTCGCGGAGATGAATCACCTCGGTGGTCATCATACTCGTCATCGTCGAATCGATTCTCCTCAACAAGCCGTGCACAACCCCCGTCAATTCGACCTCATCCGCAGTTGGATATTTCACGCACAATCGTGATTTTTCCCACGGTACACGATTAAACACACGACGCGCGTATCGCGATCGCGTAACGTAGACAGTTTACTGGACGAAACGTAAGTTTCCCCGACGATTTTGGGATACGCCCCGCGATCACGGCGCTTCGAAGACTCACTCCTCCTCCTCGTTTCGATCCGCGACCAACCACTCAATAATTTCTGTTGTTCGTCTTGTACAAAAAATCACCACCTGCGAAAATTCACGCGATACGCACACACATACACTTCGCACGCATCGTGGTTCGTCAAACCAGATACCTGCGAGACATTTTCCCCTGCTACGATTCATCCAGATGCATCCACGTTGTTCTCAGCCTCGTCCACGGTGTGGAGCCACTATTCTTACATTCAAAATGGTTGAGGATAGTTAGGTCTCTGCTATGAAGGAAAAGATATGATCACGAGAACTCACTTTCTCTACAGAGTAGTCATTAAACATATCAAAATGATTGTTATGACTCATACAGACGTAAATTACTTCGGTCATTCTTCAAAGAAAAGTTTTATGCTCTTTTAAAGACCAAGAAATACATCCATTAATTTTATCTTAAGACACGCAAGTAGTATTAATGTCTGCACAATTAAATGGACGTATCTCTAGTAGACAAACATTACTTGAGATTATTCCTCTGGCCGTACATAAGCAAAGCAGACGCGATTACACTCCATTGTGGCCAAAATCGGTTTTTTTCGGGACCTGCTTAAGAATAGTAGGAATAGGGCAGGTCGACGGGTAAGAGACGTTGGACCTTGTCTCACACGCTATAGTGCATTCCCGAGAACCGTGAGTGGCATAATAATGCAACGGGATTCCCGTATATTTAGTCCAAGGTTCGTATGTACCGGAATCGATACGAAGAATTGGTATCTATGGAACATCTCTTACATCTCTTTGTATAAATACTCAGTACACGATTTAGTGGGTTGTTTACTGCGTTCCCAAATTAACGGCTTCGTTTAACGATTATCTGAAAAGAGTTCTTATACTCAGCTAATAAAATAAAACGACAGCACTGATACTCGTTAGCTTGAAATATTTGGGGATAATCGGAGCCTTGTTCACCGACATTATGACAGATTGATTCTGAGAACACGAGAAGCAATGAAATTAATCACGCATGTACTGTATATATCATGTTCTCAATTAATTTTCAACAATTGACGTACATACATAACTAGCCATAATACCCTCGTTACAATGCGTCTCTCTCAGTAACGATGACTTTATGCTCACTTTAATCGAAACGATTAACGCTACAAACTACCCATAATTAATTATCAGAAATAATTAATATAATACTTTTAATTAACAGTGAATACTGTGGCAACTGGATTGATAAATTTACAATTATTAGGCTTTATCGAGTTCGTTACGTATACATGAATTACGTATCGCTGCAGACGATTAAATAACATATTTTTATCTCGTTCTTTACAAGCATATCGTATTTTTCACTTTCTGTTCGATCATTTGGTTCGAGCTCGCACATGTTGCCGTAACCGCGTCACGCTGTCGTCCTACGCGGGAAAGGAACCAGCTTTTCATTTACCATGTCTCGCAGCTGTGTTCGCCGATCGGCATAGACGTGGGCGACGGAGGCCTCACTCAACGAAAACTTCATACTTTTAAAACGCGGGCAAAAATCATCTGATTTCTAGCCTTCGAGCTACCTACGAGATCAACGGGCACCCACATTTCGTTAGACACCTGCGCGACCACGTCGATTCGCAGTTGATCAATAATACCGGTTGATCGATCGATCAACGCCGGCTTTGAATCTTGCCTTTTCATTAGTCTACCGCCGGATATTTAATTCTGTACTTATAAACGTATAGGCTGAAATATTATAATTTTCTATGAACTTTATTTGATATTTGTTTGATATTTGATTTATTGAATTATTTTTATTTCATTGTTCTCTATGCAGTTCAAGCTCTGTTTCATTTACATATACGAGGCTAAAGAGTACATAGTACTTTACATACGACTTGTAACAACTGTCCAAGTATCAATACACGTGTAACGTATTGCATATGCCGCGAGCGGAAGCGGAGATACCGACGCCAGATCGTGATCCGTTTTTGTCGAAGCCGCGGTACAATATGACATCACGTTTTCATGTATTCGCCCCATTGCTAAGACAATAAACGCGCGGTTTACGGCCACATGTGTTCGCATCTACACGCACTTTACGTACACGTAAAGAACTCGGGTAGGAATACACAGGAAACTTACACGGGTCCTGTACTACCCGCATGGCTCGGAATGCACGAGAATAGAATCGTGTATACGCATGGGTGTGGGTGCCGCGGTGCACAATAGCAGCGACACCCACGAGAGCATGCTGCAGACAACAGGATTTACGTTTGTAGCGTGGCTAGATGGATATACGTATGTACAGAGTACTAGTAGGCGCGCGTATATTAATGCTCGTTTAACAACATCCTCGATCGAATCGCGCGCGTGTACATATTGAAATAATGTACACACCTGTGTGTACGAAATAGGCGTGTACGTACAGTATTCGTGCGTACGATACAGGTTGTTCCTCGACCCCCGGTGCTCGCTGACTAGACGGAAAGACGATTTCTTCGCGGAAATAAAGATGGGAAACTGATACCTAAGGACTGGGATCAGTTAATTAGCTGTATAATTATGTACTTTCTGTTCGCCGATTTGTATATTACCGGGAGTTGATTCACGTGTCATAAAGAAAGTTTCGGCTTTCTACGTTAAGAAAACACGAGCGTGTGATCTTCGTCAACAATTAAGAAAGCGAGCCTATTCGATTTGATTTTGATAAGATTGACGTTTCGCTGCTGTTTCATCCTTTACTCTCGTATAATAACTTAAGTCCCCTCGTTTGTCTGCGCGTATCGTCCGCTTTGCTACCGAATCGAATTCCTGCACCTTAGAGCCTGACGCCCTGAGCGACGGAAGTCTTGCCGGTTCTATACCGTTTAACCAGTCTGCACATGTATACACAATGCACGTGTTTCATTCGTGCGTGTCTTGTTAGAGGCAAGTTGGTATGCGCGGCTCGTGTCGTATATGAGACTGCCCAGTGCAGCATTATACCTGCTTCTTAGTCGTTACCTTGTCAGGAATTTAGATAAAAGCCTTGTCTCCATGTTAGCATCTGTCTCCATGGATTCCTATAAAATCACCTAAGTCTTGTTTTTATTAATTTTAGCTTACGATACATGTATGAAAAATTTATACACACATATAGTATTTCGTTTCAAAGATCTGATCGAAGTAGGAGTGCTTACGTCAATTAACGTCAGCACGTGAAATTAATATTCTGCGCGATATACGAAATCGACGAAAGTGGGGAATGAATCTTAATGATCCTATTTGCATTACAAATGATCCCCGTGGCACGTTGTTTCTTCACGAGGAATTGTTCCAATCGAAAATTCACATAAATGAAGGAAACTCATTAACGTAGAAATCGATGATGCTATATCCACATAGAAACGAACATCTTGATATTTCACTTTTAATGATTTTACCGTCTTGATCGTTCATACAAGTTACGCAAGTCGTTTCTTATTTTGTTCATAATTACATGATGAATGGCGTAAAACGGATTCTGTTTGAAGACTACTGAATTCTGAACAATAAGCTTTCGCATCTGCATTAGACATTAATGGTCTCTCTTGTATTTCATTCTAACTCCTACATGAGGATTTAAATCTAACCAAATCATCGCCTTCACTTAGGTGACTCCTCTCCGTCGCTCAGAGGCTGAGAAAATAATCGCAACATATTCACGGTTCCCATCCATTCCGTAGAAACAATAGTTTCTCGGACAATGAGAGACGGTGAAAAATGGAAGATCACCGCTTTCCATTCTCAGAGTTCAAACTAACGACTCTCGACCACAGCCAGGCTTTCAAGAGCTGCAGTTCTGAGAGCAAAAGGAGACCGGCATACGTATTTCACACTTAATGTTGAACCGCTGCATTGTAATTGATAACCTAAATTACTCAGCGGATAATCACGGCTCTACGGGAATTCTTCCGGCTAGACAGGGAGATTTTTCGAAGGATAAAAGTCAGTGAAAGTGAATATTCTTCAAATATAATAGAGGGACTACCAAAGGAAGAAGTGGAACGCGTAGCTTTCGAGTTGCGTGATCTCGAAAGCAAGAGCAGATGAAAACAAGCGGGGAAATGCATCGGAGGTCGGAGTGAATAAGGCAATTCGCGCGTCCAGAACCGCAGAAGCGGCAAATATATGTAACGAAAAGTTAATTTGGCTTTCTCACGCAATTCAGGAAGGCCGTTATGTGCGAAGGACGCTTCCCACGTTGTTTCGCGTCAGATGTACGTTACTGGCCTCTCGTTTCGTCAGCGGAACAACATTAAAACATTTTTACGAGCACCGTTAAAATAATTATTCTAATTTACCCTTTAAGTAGAGAATTAAAATATAGTGTATAGAATATACTGATATCCTGGAAATTATGTACATTACACTATCACACTTTTTATTATAAACTCTTATCTAATATCTTGTAAGTTTAGAAAATGTTACATTAATTGAAACTTAATAACATATTACATCACAAAATAGTAAAAGACGTTTTTGATTTTAATAAGAATCACTGCTTGAAACGTTTG